GCAGCGACCGCACCTCCTCTATGTCGCGGTTGAAGATGGCTTGGACCAGAGGAGGCTACAAAGAGAGACAGAAGCAAGTCATGAAGGTGGCACCTCGTGGAGGACACAGGAGGGAGCTGAACCAGCAGCATCACAGCAGGTCAGAGACTCCAGCCCGATCCCACCAGGGCCCCCCTCCAGAAACAAGCGCCCACGAGTCCATGGCTCAGGCATCACCAGGGACCAACTTCCACGCCAGCAAAGTTCCTTTTCATGGTTGTTTATTGGTGAACAGCCCAAGGAATCACTGGAAAAGCCTCCCTGATCCCCAGCCTGAGGAGCAGGGCTGATCTGGCCCCACAGCCCCCCTGCAGGTCCTACTGCCACCTCCACAGCTTCAGCCACAGCCCCAAACCCTCCCTCCAAGCAGGAGGGACAGGTTGTCCCTCCAAGTAGGACACAGGTCTCTGCAGACAGCGAATCGGGTCTCCCAAGGCACAGCTCATGCTCTCCTGGCAGGACCTCCTGCTGCTCCCCTACCTTTTGAGAATCCTGCAAGGCCTCTGATGGAGCAAAGCACCTGGCAGAGCCCAGCCCAGAGCTCCTCCTGAGTCCTGCTGCCCACACCTCACAGACCACAACCCTGGAGCCCAGCCCAGGTGACACCCAGCAGTGCCGTGGGCTGCAGAACCCACGGCCGGAGCTGCCCGAGCTGCTGGGTGGGTGAGGAGCTGCCCCAGACCCCACACCCCGTGTCCTACTCCACAGGCCTGAAAACACCGTTTTTGGCAGCGGGTTCTTGGGGCAGAACCTGTGGCTGCTCCAGCTCTGCTCTTGGCACCTCACGATCATCCTCGCTCAGAGCCCGGGGGGCTGCGACCCCGGCAGCCCCGACCCAGCCCCGCGGGCCACACGTTGGGTCCAACAACGAAACCCAATGAGCTCGACCCCTCGGAGGAGCAGCTGAGCTCGGTTTTCCAGGCAACCCCTTCCCATCCCTACTGCCCGACCACCCCACTGGGGAACCACCAGCACTTAAAACACGGGGAGCACATCCCGGGTCAGAGGGAACGCGTGAGTCATTCCCCAGGAATGCAGCAGGCTCAGCATCACTCGGTAGACTTTAAAAAAAATATAAATTATTAAAAAAAAAAGTGGTTTGTTTTT